ATAGAAAGTTTAAAATACTTAAAAAGTAGCTCTCATCTAACTTCTAAATTACTTCACCGATTACCAAATTATTTTGACACCTTGTAGTAAAGAAGGTATAGTTTTTAAATTTTTATACCACAACTCTGCGAATTCGTATTCGAGGCTGCGAATCCAATTCTTGTGATTCTCGTGACAGAAAATCGTTACTTTAATAATACTTTAGTATAACAAGATGATCTACAAAAATCAGCCAATCACAATAAAAGTTCGCTATGCTTGTTGAGTTACACAAACCTAATAAATCAGAATTCTCTAAATGCCACATAGTGATCGAGATAAAAGGAGAAAACCTAAACTTCTTATCCGAACCAGTAGAGCTAATAAATTTTACGCCACCCAAAATTGTTCGTCTGAAACCTTCAAAGACTTCAAAAAAAGTATTGATGAACTCGAACTCTCTCATTGTTGAAGGTAAATTTTTTAATGTATTGAAGTAATTAAATCTATATTAAATGAATATTTTTCACAATTTAAGGCTCAGCCAATTTATTCCAATCCGATAAACATTAAATATTGCTCATTAAAAATTAAGTCACATTTTGGAACTGTAGAGCAGGTAATTCGTGAAGATAATTGGAATACAAAAATTTTAAAACGTGCGGAGAAGTTTGTGAATGAGGCGGCTGAAGACCTTTTGCGCAAAGCTATACAGGTAATATAAATCATTTTTATTCAATTATTTATTAATTAGTCTAAATTTATTTGGTTTCACAGAGATGCTTTGTATTATGTAAAAATGGTGGTGAAAGTGTGGCAGAAAATCTGTTAAAATCTGTTGCTGAACTTGAGTGTGTTGTGCTCAATAGAAAGGTGTCAAAAATTAAAGAATACCTCGATAGTTGTTCAAATAAGTGGGAAAACAGAGATGAATTTCTTGAAATGAAAAAAAAAACAAACCCGATATGCTGTGATATCATTAAGAACATATCATCAGAAATTTATGTTGAGAACAAAAATCATCAAGTTTGTATTATTATTATAGTAGGTGTGTGTTATTGTGATGGATTCTTTTTGGGATTGGGTGCAGCATCCGCAGCATTTGCGACAGAATATGCAAGTTATCTTAACCTAGCAAGACTAGCAGGACTTTTGTCTAGTGTGGTAGGTTATCAATTTACCTTTTTTCGCCATAAATGTGAAGCCAACTACCGGGAAATTATCAAATTCTTATTGCAACAACTAAAATCCCCCAATAACATGATGAATGTAAAATTCATTAATTCGCCTTTCCATAATGAGGAAGCGCTTGTCAACAGATGGAAGGAACTTGGCTATATGAATAAGAATTCTAAGCAAATTGTTAAAGATATGCCATTTCGTACGGATACTGAAGGTTATCAACATTAGCAAAAGAGTATAGGTTGATCTTGTAGGGTTTATATTTTTAAATCGAGACCCTCAAATTTCGGCATAATCCACGACATCAAACGAAAAAGCGAAAAGGATGTGTTTATTGATATAATAGATAAAATTTATTGATCTCGCAATAATAAAATTAATGTTTTTTTTTATAAAGGCATTAAGGGCATTTCTTATGTTCAGTACATAATGATGTGTCTTAATATTTAAGTAAAACTTTAAAGACCAATATTAATACTACGCATCGTCATTATTCTACCAATTTGATTGGGCGATCGGCCAATAAAATCACGAGATGATCATCAAAATCTAACCAATTACAATGAAAGTTCGCTATGCTAACTCAACATCCATTAATATTAATTTGATTGTTGGGAAAAACCGGTTGCTGTTCGCAACTTTACTTGAATCTTCATTATGCATGTCAAACATAAAAATATTTTTCAGTACGGTATAATATTCATCGATGTAATGATTCCGAATAGAATCTGCAACAAATATGATCTTCCCCAGCTTTTCTATGACATCTTCTGGTTGATTTGATGCATCAACAAGTGTGTAATTTTTTTCTTCACAGAAAAACCACAAACCAAACGGCCGATAGAAATCGCATGCATTTCTCCTGACTATTGGATTTTTTGTAAGTTTATGATAAAGACCATTCGCCTTACACGCAAGTTCTTTATATTTTTCAACTGCCGGAAAGACTTAACCAAGAGCCTGGACAAATATCTCGATGCTATCATATATTTGTTTCATAGTAGCGTAGTTGTCTACAATATTAAGACTTCGAGGAACACAATCGTTCCCATGAACAAAAGTCCAGAAACATTTTGAGAATTTCTGTCTTTCTCGAAGCCATTTTCTAATTTCATTGCCGGCAACAAACGGCGAGCCAAAAGCGATTGACAGAATGTCAAGATTTTCTGGAAAGGTAGTTCCTCCATTGAAATAAAGGATAAGATAAAGTAGTAAATAGACATGACTAACTGCACCACCTAAAGAATGGCCACATAATGTGATGCGTTTGATATTTTCAAATTCTATAAATCTCGTAAGTAAATCGAAAAGGTACCTAAATAATTAAAGCACATGAAACTCTGATTCTAGATAAAAAGTCTAAATAAAATCAATTGTATAAAATTGACATACCTGTTCGGCTATTTTTTTAAACCCAGAATGTATCTTTCCTCTAAGCCCAACATAATGTGGTAAGATATTCATATTTTGTATCCAATTCTGAGTGCATCATTCTGCGAAATGCTATATATACCTCTTTTGCTTCACTGTATTCTGAATTAGAAAAGGCAATGAGGTATGGAGACGTATCAAACACATGACGCATATACTAAAATGATCCAAATCGAATAAAACTAATATAGTTATCACGTCAAACCTATCTCTCCACCTTAAAACCCATATCCTGTAAAATTTTTGTAAAATTTATTCGATAGTCAATCAAGTAACTCATATTAACAGTGTGTCATTAACAGTGTGTCATTAAGTGTAATAAATTTTAGGGTAGTGTAAAAATGCGCCGTATTGATTGGAAAAATCGTAGAGCTGTTATACTTGCCTCCAAACTATGTATTATATTTTGGGTTTGTCCGAGCTCAAATCCCAAACCCTGGCCAAACTAATATCTTAAAAACTTTATTAATGATCTTTATTTAAACACATAGTATATGTTCTTATAGCTACAGTCAGACCTCCCTAAATGCAACCTCCCAAATGAATAACCTCTTTAAGTGCATATTAATTATATGGACCGTTAATGGACTTAAAAATAAATACATATTCTTTATTCTGCAAATTTATACTATTTCTTAGGCCCGTCTATATAAAATTACTCTGTAAATGCACATCACATGATTGTGTGCCAACTAAATCGAGATTACATATTACCAAACTTGTATGTATATATTGTACCCTAAATTGGAATTGTTCCAATTCAGAATCGGGACAGTTCCAGTGAACTTGTAATTTTGGTCAACATTATGCTAACTAAATATTAAAAATTTTATTCTAAACCCTAATTCTAATCTTAACGCCAACTCTAAAGTTCTATACTGCCAAAATAATTTGTAAAATTCTCATCCGGAGTAGCCGATCCTGAATCGGGACGATTCCAGCGGGGCACTACATATATACCAGTATCGCCAAAAAAATCCCACCATCAAGTGATGATCAACAGCAAATTGATCTTCCCCTAGATCGCCACCAAAATTCCAAAATTTTCACCGGCACGTGATCATGTGTAACGCACCGAAAAAATTCTTAAAGTTCGTTTAGGTTAGGGTTAGGGCCTATGCTAAGGTTAGGGTTAGAGGAGCCTTAATAGTAAAATCGCTCAAGGAAAACTTTTTGTTAATGCACAGTAGATGGTTTACTATACAATTTTTCGAGAAATAGGCGATTTTTGATAAAACGAACGTTTGTTTTGAAATTTCCTGTTCGTGTTACGTTACACCTGATCTTGAAATGTGATTGGATCTAAATCACGTGCAGGTAAAAATTTTGGTGGTGATTTAGGGGTAGTTCAGCAAATTACAAAATTAATTGATTTGGTACAATGTAACACAATCAGAAATTTTATTTGATATATTAATTAATAAGTATTAATTCTATATAAACAATAATTCTGTATCTATTCAATATATTAATTAAGTATTAATTCTGTAGCAACAGCAATTCTGTATTTATTCAATATATTAATTAAGTATTAATTTCGTATCAACAATAATTCTGTTATTTGATATATTAATTAAATATTAATTTCATATTAATAATAATTCTGTATCTATTTAATATATTTATTCAGTATTAATTCCATATTAACAATAATTTTGTATCTATTCAATATATTTATTTAGTATTAATTTATTATATAATCTTATTATTCTATTTATATATATTATATTCTGTATATTATTTGTAATTTTCTTTATTATTTTTATAATTATTTTTTTATAAAGAAGAATGTATTATATTTGGAAATAATTAATAAAAAGTTAGCATAAATATAAATTATGGTATTGTGAAGAACTATAGAGATAGCAGCCAGAATTGCTATTAATTTAGCTTTGTAAAATAAGAGCTAGTTAGTAGTTTTGGCTAAAAGTTTCTAAGTTATAGGATTATTACAAACTTGAAGCTAGCCTATATTTATAAAGCATGAGCTAATACCAATATCTATTATTGATTTATCAGTATCAGTATAAAGGACAAATATTTTCTAGAATATATTAGCAAGTGTATACTATAGAATATATTGAGAAGCAAGACTATCTTGAAATATAAATAGTATAGCAGAGTTAGAGATGTATATAATTGGAAATAGTAAATATATATTTTTTTTTTTAATATTAAGGTGACTACTTAGGTCCCTGGCACTTAGCTTTATTCAGATAAATACGATATTACATCAATTTTATGAGAATACAACTAGCTACACGTTGAAATAGTAAATATTTAATAGCTATAAAATATATTAAATCAATATAATTAGTATTAAGCTTTAGATATCTATTAACTGTTTTTTTATCTAGAAACTAGGTTGGTAGAGTTGTAGAGATTTCAAAAGTGCAATGGTTTAAGATCTGGTTGGAGTTTAAACTGTAGCCTTGGCATAGTAAGCAGTAATAGATAGTATAAATATTTTTGGTATAAAGATATATCTATATTATAAGACTAATAAGTAATAGATATAGTGTTTGTTTGCTTAAAGCTTCTTATAATTTGTTTAATAATGATTTGATTATCAATATATAACAGAAAAATTTTTTTTAGTATATTAATTATAATTAGGGCTTTGCAAATGCCTATACTAGACAAATTAATATTATGCTAGATGTAGATACCTTGTACTATACCAATACAAAAGATACAAAAATACCAGATATAATTATAAGCACTGGTATTAAAATGCTTACATAAATATTCCAAAATATAGCATTTTATATCTGTGTTTAAATAGTAATTGATATTTTTGTATCATATAATATTTAAAAAAATAGATAATATTTTTATACTAGATATATTATACTTATGTCAAAAAAGTATTAAACACTTTATACCTATATTTAAAAGATATTAGCACTTGGTAATAAAGTAAATCTGATTGAATTAACTTAACTTTGGCAATATATACAATTTCTAATTTGTTCTTCTTTTTAATAGATTTCCTCTATCTATTATAATATCTGAACTATTTGCAATACAAATATTTTTGTATAACAGTTTTTTAATATCACTTTCAACAATAGTCATCTCTTTTTTAGAATATTTATTAGAATACTATCTAGCTTTATCTTAACAACAATCAAAAAGTATCAAACTTTGCATATAGCTTTTAATCATTGACACTTAAAACATTTAGAGTTAAATTACTATTTGATAATCTTTTATCCTTATATATTCTTTATAAAAAATATCCTTCCTATCCCAACTCTTGTCACATCTGTTAACAACCTATTGATGCACTATACTGGATATTCTGCCTTCTTTTGATTCAATATTAAATCTTCTTAATACATCTCTACAACACATTTTAATTTCTAGTAAACTTCAAATCTTACAAACTCAAATACATCACCTTCTTAACTAAATTAAAACCCTGATAGCTTATAAATTTATTCTTTCACTTTTAAACCATTACTTTTCTTTACAATTACTAGTCTTGTTCTAGTTGATATTATAAATACTCTACAAGATTATAACTTTTTTAATAATTTTGTCTGCTTTTTTACTATTCAATTTCTTCTTCACTTTAACCAACAAATTTATACAAATATTTGAATTCTCTACTGCATTTCAAAGTTATAGTTCAACCTTGCCCCAAGCAATAATAGCAATTCTACTCCTGCCAATTCTATTATATGTCTTTCAAGTTTAATTTTTTTACTTAAAAATCCTTCTAACTTGCCTATATCTAACTTACTTTATAAATTAAAAACTTGATACTTCAACTAAATTAAATTTTCTTCACATTCTTTTTTATTCTTACTTATCTTTAATCTAGATAAGCCTTGGCTACTCTGGTAAATTTAGGCCACAAATAAGCATTTAGATTTACTTAAATATATGTCTAAGTTTTTTTTTAATTTTTTAGATTTAAAAGATAAAATTTTTTTTGATTATATAAAAAGTTTTTGTTAAATCTAATAAAGATAAAAACATGGTTTTACTTTTAGTATTAAAAAAAATAAAAAAATAACAATTAGGTATAATATAAAAATTAATTGTTTTTAAAAAAATCTTTAATAACTTAAAATTTTGCTTATAAAACTACTTTTAAAGCTCTAATAAAAAAAGAAGAGTTTACAAATAAGGGTCTAAATAAAAATAATTACAAATATAAGCCCAAATTTAAAATAATTACATATAATGGCCTAATTTTTTAAAAATATTATATATAAGAATCTAAATTTATTAATAAACTATAATGATAGGTAGCAAAATTATGATTAATATTAATTGTTTTATTATAGACATTTAGAGTTATCTATATAAACTCATTTATATATTAATTATTAGATAAAAGAATAAATGAAGAATTTATTACAAAATACAAAATAGCAGATTCTGAAAAAACTTAATACTAACAAAGTTGGCTAATATTAATTATAATGCTAGCTAATTTAGTTGGTATTATGTTCTTTTAGAAAAATAGTTTTCAGATATTGTTGTAGAATCTAAATAAAGTGCTAGTTATAATTATTTTTGCTTAAAAATAGTACCAAACTAGCACAATTATTCATAAAGTGAAATTTCAACAGAGTAGTACTCTAAAGCTAAATAAACTCTTTTATATTAGTAAATACTATACTAATTTGCAATGGTTGATTTAACATCATAATGGTTTATTATAACAATAAGCAATTTTACACAAAAAAAATTAAATTTATTAAATTTAATTCTTATTTATAATTACTAATTTTCATTATATTTCTTATACTAATAACAATTAAGCAAATAGCATTAAGTTATTTTAGATCTTATATGTAATATTTTTTAAAAATTAGGCCCTTATATATAATTATTTTTAATTTGGGCCTGTATTTGTAATTATTTTCACTTTCTAGGCCCTTATTTGTAAATTCTCCTAAAAAAATTTTTTTAAAAATTTTGGTATAAACTATGCCTTTGCTCTATTCCAAACTCTAACCCTAACCCTAACCCTGATATAGTCTGATCTCGTTATAGTCACTCTCAATATAGTCAGAACCTTGTTATAATCACACTATTTTTTTGGTTTAGCTATTATAAAACATATAAAATGTGACCTTTATTTAGTCACAACTTTTTATAATTACCAAAATTTTGTTTCCCAACCTGATGATTATAACGAGGTCAGACTGTACTAGTCAAATTTGTTTTTTTATTTTATTTAGTTTTGATAATAATCTTTATATCACACAGCATACATAATATACTGGTGTTAGCACCACAGGTATGCTTGTATATATAAATCTAAGATTATAACCCTTCTATTCTAGTTTTGTATATCTTATTTTTTAATATGTAGACATTATCTACTAAACTTATAAATAATATAAATAAAATAACTTATTTATAATATTTTATTTTTTTATTAGCTATAAAATAAAGTTTTTATATATTAATAAGTATTCTTATATACGTATTAGCGAATTAAATTTATTAAAATACACACGTGATGCATTGTTATAGTCATCAAAAATTGGAAAGTCCCATTCTTTGGGATCTAAAAATAAAGTTTTTATTTATTAGTAAGCATTCTCATATATTGGCCAATTAAATAATTAAAATACACATGTGATGGATCATTGTTATAATCATCAAAATTTGGAAAATCCCATTCTTTAGAACCTAAAATTAAATTAATTAAAAACTTTTATTGATTAATTAAAAAATTAGATATAATAACTGTAATTATTCACCATGAATTTTTGGCAACTCTGCAGATAGAGAATTAATTGGTTCCGAAAGGTTTTTGAAGTTAAGCAGTTTACTTGTAAATTTATTTTTAAAAGAAATGATCGGTTCAGTTGATAATGTTGTAATATTCTCATCAGCAAATTGGAATTCTTTTAATATTGCTAATTCATTTTTATCTTTTGCAACACCAAGATTTACTACATTATACCATCTTGATAATTCATCATAGATATAAGATGCAGTTGGTCTATTAAAAGAATTAGCATCCATGCATTTATTTGCTAATTGGATATAACATTCAGGAGTATTTTCAAAAAATTTAGGACGTAACCCAATGCATATTTGAAAAGCTGATACTCAGCATCGTAATGAGGTGGTCTTCCTGTAGACATTTCAGTCATAATAATACCAAAACTATAGATGTCTGCTGCTACTGTATATGGTCGTCTATTTAATACTTCCGGGGCAAAATAAGGTAAAACGCCATAAATGCTATTTAAATCAGATTCATTCTTCTTCCTAGATAATCCTAGATATAAGATATCAGATCTTCATTAACATATTGATTTTGTAATATATTACCACCATGAAGATCTCCATGAACATATTCTGCTTCGTGTACTTTTATTAAATTTTTTGATATATCAACAAGTTGTTTTAATTTACTTTTCCAACTGAGTTCTCTAAAATTTGATAATAGAAACTCATGAAGACCTCCCTTATTTTCATATTGAAATACCATTAAAAATTTCTTATTAGTTGCGTTTTGTGTTAATCCATACACCTCAAGATTAGTACCCATTAACCTACATTCCATATAACTTTTAAACTTGTTAAATAAAAATTATAATGCTAATAATTTATCTATTTAAACCGTAAATAAATTATTTTAACTTCTCTTAAAAAATTCTTTTGCGAACCAGGCAATGTTTTAAGTGCAACTACATATGATGGCGTAAGTGATTTACATTCACCTGAAACTATTCTTTTACCATCTAACCACGTTGCTGAAAACACTGAACCAAATCCCCATCACAAATCTTTTGAACGTTATCTAATCTATTAAAAGGAATCCATTCGATTACATCTTCACAGTTTGAAGCTTTAGGTTGAAATTCTTTAATACAATTATCGATATCTTCATTTCCAATTGTCCATCCATGTGTTATTATATAAGGATCACATGTTTGACACCAAGCTAGTGATGTATTATATCGGTCACAATTTGCACATTTTCCATTAGATTCATCTCTTTTATAACTGGAGTCAAATACCATCATACTGTATATTCGTTCGTTAATGTGTTTTGAGTTAGTCCATATACTTCAAGCCCACTATTCTTTAATTGAATATAATATATAAATTTATAAAACATGTAAATATAAATTAAAATAAAGCCATATATTGTGCAATAATAATAAACTAAACTAAATATCTTGGCTTACTTCTTTTAACATATCTAATAGATTTGATGATTTAATTAATGTTTTAAGCTCCATTTTACATGATGGTGTACGTAATTGTGTGCATTCCCAATGTCCACCTGAAACTATTCTTTTACCATTTAACCACGTTGCTGAAAACACTGAGCCAGTTCCCACTTCATTAATTTTTTGAATATTATCTAATCTATTAAAAGGAATCCATTCGATTAAATCTTCATAGTTTGAAGCTTTAAGTTGAAATTCTTTAATACAATTATCGATATCCTCATTTCCACTTGCCCATCCATGTGCTATTTTATGAGGGTTTCATGTTTGACACCAGGCTGGTGATGTGTTATATCGGTTGCAATTTGCACATTTTCCATAGTTTTTTTTTTTTCTTTTAGAGTGAAACTCATCAAATATTAACAAATACTGGCAGTGTTTTGGGTTAGTCCAAATACTTTAAAATTTAATTGTTCATAACATGTAAACTTATAAAAAAATGTAAACGTAAATTAAAATAAAGTGTATTCTGTGCAATAATAATTTAATATTTAACTTTCTTCTTTTAATATATCTACCAAATTTTGTGAACTAGTTGTTTTAAGATCCACTTTACATGATGGTATACGTGACTGTATATATCTAGATTTAAATTTATTTTTATCATATTCTTCATTTACATGCCGTATTCCATCTAGCCAGATTGCTGAAAACCTATCATCGATATTTTTAATATTGTCTAACCTATTGAAAGGAATCCATTCGATTACATCTTAACTTTAAGTTGAATTTCTTTAATAAACTCATCGATATCCTTATTTCCACTTGTCCACGTTTGTGTTGTCTTATAAGTGTCGCATGTCTGACGCCAAGCGAAAGATATGTTATATCTGTTGCAATTTGCACATTCTCCATTCCACTCGTCGCGTTTAGAACAAAATTCATCAAATACTAACATATACTCATTTTTTGCGATATCTCGAGTTATTCCATATACTTTGAGGTCGTTATTCTTTAATTGTACATAATCTGTAAACTTATTTAATATGTAAATATAAATTTAAAAAAAGTGTATACTGAGCAATATTAGTAATTTAAATGTTTATCTTACATTTAATATATCTGATATAGTTAATGTTTTAAGCTCCACCTTATATGATGGTATACGTGACTGTGTATATCTAATTACATATTTATATGCATATTTATTACCATACGCACTATATGCGTATTTATGTTCATGTATATGTCACACACCATCTAACCACGTTGCTAAAAACTTATCACCAATATTTTGAATATTATCCAATTTATTAAAAGGAATCCATTCAATTACGTCTTTATAAGATATAGCATTAAGTTGAAATTCTTTAATACAATTATCGACATATTTATTTCCACTTGTCCATCCTTATGTTGTTTTCTGAGGGTCACATGTTTGACACCGTGTTATATTGGTTGCAATTTGCACATTTTTCATTCTTTTTATCTCTTTTAGAATCAGATACTAATATATACTCATTTGTTATCGTATTTTGAGTTAACCCATAGACTTTATGTCTATTATGTTTTAGCTGCACATAATCTATGGACTTATTAAATATTTATAAATATAAATTAAAATAAGAATACACGGTAGTATTTTATAATAACAATGTAAATGTCCTAACTTACTTCTTTTAACATATCTACTAAATTTGGTGATCTAGTTAATGTTTTAAGCTCCACTATATTCATAATTTAGATGTCGTCTCCCATCCAGCCAGGTTGCTAAAAATCTATCATCGATATTTCGAAAATTACTTAATCTATTAAAAGGGATCCATTCAATTACATCGTCATAGTTTGTAGCTTTAAGTTGAAATTTTTTAACACAATTATCAACATCCTTATTTCCACTTGTCCATCCATGTGTTATCTTCTGAGGATCACATGTTCTACACCAAGCTGGTGATGTATTATATATTCCATGTCTTCTGTCTCTTTTAAAAGAAAATTCGTCAAATACCAACATGTATTTAGTTGTGGTTATGTTTTGAGTTAGTCCATATATTTTAAGCTCACTATTATTTAATCGTACATAATCTATAAATATTATGCAATAATAAATATTTTAACTTACCGTAAAATCCGGACACGTATACCCCCATGGCGTGTACCCCCTAGCAGTTTTAAGGGCCAGTTGGTGACTTATACCCGGGTACATAAGTATTATACATACTATATGTATCATCTCGGGTAGATATATTGTCTCAATACGGCGTACCCCCATATAGAGGTACCCCGGGTACAAAATTGAGTAATGAAAATACCCGGGGTACTCGTGTCCGGATTTTACGGTACTTCATTTAACATATATATCAAATTTTGTGAATTAGCTAATGATTTAAGCTCCATCTTACATGATAGTAATAGTATACGTGACTGTGTATATCTAGGTTTAAATTTATCCTTATCATATTCTTTCATTTACCGTATTCCATCTAACCAGATTGCTAAAAACATATCCCCGATATTTTGAATATTGTCTAATCTATTAAAAGGAATCCATTCAATTACATCATCGTATTTTGTTGCTTTAAGTTGAATTTCTTTAATACATTCATCGATATCCTTATTTCCACTTGTCCATCCCTGTGTTATTTTCTGAGGATCATATGTTTGACACCAAGCTGGCGATGTGTTATATCGGTTACAATTTGCACATTTTCCATCCAAATTATTTCTTTTAGAACTAAATTCATCAAATACTATCATATATTCACCTGTAGTTAAGTTTTGAGTTAATCCATAAACATTTTTACTCTCTAATTGTATATAATTTTTAAACTTACAGAATATTTAAAATATTAGTAAATTTATCAACAATTAAGCAAGCTACATGTATAAATATTATAATCTTACTTCTTTTAAAATATTTAATAATTTTGGTGATTTAATTAATGCTTTAAGCTCCACTGTACATTATTGTAGACGTGACTGTGCATATCTATAATCATTTTCAACTTTGTCATTATAATTTACATAACGTATTCCATCTAACCAGGTTGCTAAAAACTTATCGCCAATCTTTCGATAATTATCTAACCTATTAAAAGGAATCCATTCTATTACATCTTCATATTCTGTAGTTTTAAGTTGAAATTCTTTAATATAATCGTCGGTATCTTTATTTCCACTTGTCCACCCTTGTATTATTTTATAAGGATCGCCAAGCAGGAGATGTGTTAAATCGGTTGCAATTTGCGCATTTTTCATACCTTCCTTTTCTTTTCGAATGAAATTCATCAAATATTAACATATACTCATTGGTTGCAGTGTTTTGAGTTAGTCCATATACTCAAAGATTTAATTGTATATATTCTATAAACTTAATAAAATGTAAATGTAAATTAGCATAAAGCGTATACTGTGCAATACAACAACAACAACAACAATAATAATAATAATAAGGGAACTGACACTTATTAGCTGATTATACCCTCCCCTGTAATACCCTACTAGGGTCCCTCTTTTTGTACCCCAAAATTTAAGTCCCTAAACTATTTATAGAACAATTACAAGTTTTAAAGTAATCAATAATATAATAATAAGTTTTAATGTAATCAATTAACCCCTTGCATATTTTTATGCACACCTTGCATAATTATGCAGGTTCGTGCATAAAATATGCATAAGCCTGCATAATTATGCAAGAGGTGCATAAAAATATGCAAGGGTTAATTGATTACATTAAAACTTATTATTATATTATTAATTACTTTAAAACTTGTAATTGTTCTATAAATAGTTTA